GCTTGTTGCACTGGTTTCTTTCAACAGCCCTGTTGATAGCCACTGTCCCTATAGTACAAGTGAGGAGAATTAGACCCAGAGAGAATACCTGCCTGTTAGTGGCAGAATAAACTGCCATCTTGCCTTCTGCTCTGCCATTCTCATTAAATGATTGTACTCCATCTTTTAGTTTTCCATTTTTAACAAGGTTCATTTTACCCATTGTCAATCATCCACTGAGTAATGGAGCTTCTGTACAAATAAGTTCCAAAGACATATATCTGGAAACTTATAATCATAGTCATTTTTCATTCACTGCAGTAATTGGCAGGTTATATCATACCCAGGATGACAGAGGAACAAATTATAAATCACCATAACCCTTCCCCAGTCCTGAGCACTGAGCTTACCCTGATGTGATCAAGGATCCTCTTTATCAATAGGCTTGAGACATGGTTTGGGGCTGGTGGTTTATCATTCAGTCTCTAATAACTCACTGCCATTGAGTCAAATCCAACTAATAGTGACTCCTCCTTGGATTTCCAAGGCCCTAATGGCAAAAATATTTTTCATAAATATTTTTGTTCTGCTTATAATAAATATGTTCATGAGTCATTTCAAGGAAGAAGAAAGAGACCACAGCTTTTCCTATCTATTAGAAAAGGTTATTTGCCCACTGATGTAAAAATGCAGTAGTAGGTGCAGTTCTGTGAGGTTTTTTTTTTTTAATATCCTAATTCTACAGATGAGCAGTTTGAGGCAGTGAGAGGTTAAATATCTTGTTCATGGTCGCACTAAATGCTAGAGTATGACCTGATCCAGGTAATCTTGCTCTAGAGCCCTGCACTACTTGGTAGTGTGTGTGTTTCAGTGGGCTTTTTTGTTTGTTTAATCAAACTGTAGTATGCATGTTCAAGGAGCCCTGGAAGTGCAGTGATTAAAATGCTCACCTGCAAACTTAAAGATTGGCAGTTTGAGTAGGTTAGCCACTCCACAGGAGAAAGGTGTGACAGCATACTTCCGTACAGATTTAATGCCTGGGAAATCTAATGGGGCTGTTCTGCTCTGTTCTGTTGGGTCACTGTTGAGTCAGAATTAACTTCACAGCAGTGATTTCGTTTTTTTCTTTCCTAGCATATATGTTCAGTATATATCTTGTTATATTTTTAACTACTATGCAGATCATGATATAGAACATTTTAAGCCACCTAGAGGGTTCCCTTGTGTGCCTTCTCAGTTAATAACACCCTTTTCCTAGATGCTCTGGTGGCATAGTGGATAAGGCACTTGATTGCTGACCAGAAGGTCAGCAGTTTAAACCCACCAGCTGCTCTGCAGAAGGAAGATGGGCAATTTACTTCCATAAAGATTTACAGCCTTGGAAACCCAGTTAGGGTCGTTATGAGTCAGAAGTGACTCTGTGGCAGCGAGTTTGTTTTTTTCTTTGTTTTTTTCCTTGAAGGTTTTGAATAAATCCTGTATTTTGAGGACCTGTTGCCTAATATTAACCCTTAATAAGCTTTGCCAGTCCTGCTTTTATTTTTACTGTAAGACCTTTTACAAAAGCCATGTGTTGTGGTCTTTGATATCTCTTATCTTTAGGAGGATTAAGAGGAATTGTCTAAAGATAACTTGTAAAAGTGAAATTCTTATTTAACAAAGCAGAAATAAACACTAGCTGGTTGATTTTTTATTCATTCATTCACATTTATTGAACATCTACCATGTGCCAACCACTGAGCCAAGTGCCCGAAGGCAGTGATGGAAATACATAGTTCCTGATCTTAGGAAGCTCATGGTCTAGTAGAGAGAGAAAACACACACAGACAGATAAAGAGACAGACTAATGACATATGCCTTCAACTATAAAATGAGATAATTGTTTTTTAGAGTGCAGGGAGGAACTCAAGACAAATTCCCTAAATCTGCTTAGACAGACAGGAGTGTTACTACAGAAGGGGTACTGCTCAAGTGTCAATTTGAGCAGGAAAATGAAAGGGGTATGTGGAAGCAGGAAGGACATTGTATTCCAGGCTGAGGAAACAGCCTGTATAAAATCATAGAAGCATAAGAGGATATGCACATCTTTCACTCTCCTGATGAAGGAACTATACAGTAATTCAGTATTGTTGAGTAGGTAGAAGAAGGGAAATGATACAAGATAGTTGATCAGAGGCTTCTAGATTTTACCAGGTGAACCTTGTAGTGTCATGGAAGAATTTTGACAAGAGGAAAAATTACCAGATTAGTCTATTAGAAAGCATACACTCTAGCATTGCTTGTGAGGAATAGTTTATGAAGAAAGTAAGAGTATAGCTAAGAAGGTTAATCTCTCTTATTAGACATGAGGAAACTGAAGCACAGAGAGGAGGGGTTAAGTAACTTGCTGGAAGTGATGTATTTTGTTAAGTGGTTGTTATTGTTGTTGTTAACATGCTGTTGAGTCAGACCCAATGCATAACGACACCCCTCCTTGGGTTTCTGAGGTGGTATCACTATGGAAGTAGATTGCCCAGGCTTCCTTCTGAGGAGTGGCTGGTGGGTTTGAACCACCAGCCTTCTGGTTAGAAGTCAAGTGCCTTAGGTACATGCTACCAGAGCTCCCATGTTAAGTGGTAGAGGTAGGATTTAGGAATCCTGGTGGTACAGTGGTTAAGCTCTGTGCTGCTAACTGAAAGGTCAGCAGTTTAAACCCAGCAATTGCTAGGGAGAAAATACCTGGTGATCTGTTCTGTAAAGTTTGCAGCTAGGAAATATTATGGGTAGTTTTACTCTGTCCTATAGGGTTGCTCGGAGTTAGAATCAACAGTACACAACAAAAAGAGCCAGAATTTAATTCCAGATAAGCAGCCTGACTCAGATTCTGACCTCTCAACCACTCTCCCATGAAAAGTTACTGAATTAGGACAGAGGCAGCTAGAATGGAAAGAAATGTAGTCGTGGGGATTAAAAGAGGAGGGAGGAAGTATAGAAGACTTCCAGGTGTGTGACTTTGTTGACTGGAAAGTAGTGCTACTTTCATATTGGTTTTAAATGTATTTTATATTATGTTACACTTTTTTCTTGATGGTTGTAGTATGTCTCATTTAAGCTGCCATTGTTATTAATTCACAGAAAAAGTCCAGAATGTTGACCTAATTTTACAAAACAAGTTGCATATCTTCTGATGAATGCATGAGAAAATTTGGAGGCTTTCACAGTGGTTTTAAGGTAAGTTCAGTTACATTTTTAGACAATACTCAGTATTATTCCTAGTAAACTATAATAAATTAAGTTTGGCTTTTTTCATAGAAGCAGTTGAATTTAACCTTAAAAACACTGTGAGAGTCTTGAACAGTTACCTGCTGGCCAGATTTTTCTGTTATCCCAGAGTCCAGAGCAAGTCAGAAGTCCTTGGATATGTTGCCCAGGTGGTCTTCAGTAAAGGTCCATCATGAAGTATTATCATGTACTATTATTCCATTTTGAAAATGATAAAACCAAGTTTTATAGAGGTTAAATAACTTTGTCCAAGTTAACATAAGGGTAGAACTGGAATTTGTGCTTGAGTGATTATGATCCAGATTCTTTCCAACACATAACACACTTTCTCCAAGACGTTAGACATGGCAGTGTGCTTCTCTGTGAGGGAAAGTGGGCTACCTCAGTAGCAAAGTTACTGACTATGGTATACAGTAATGTTCCTGCACTTCAGTATGGCTGAAAGACCTAGGTCAGACCTTTAGAGAGAGCATTAACTATCAACTTGAAGGAAAAAAATTTAAAAATAAAATTTTAAACATTGAGAAGTGTTTCTGAAAAACATAATTCTTTATAATATGGGATTAGTAAAATACTGTAAAATCTGAAAACACATAGTAACTTCTTTACCCTCTAGTTAAAACTCTCCTCCGAGGTTTATGACCCTGCTTACATTTATAGCTTAGAAGAGTGAGGCAATGTGACAGTGTTCTCTCGCCCTCCAGAGAGTACCTAAAAGTGGTGTAAAATGGGACATCCTTGGAAAGGTACTTGCCAGCTACTGACAACACCTGGAGGGCCAGTCACCTTGTTTTTCCCCAGCTTCCTACCTTAAGGCAGTTGTTGACAATGCTTGTTGGGCTTGTTTTGGAAATTTGACTTCTTCACTTGTCATAATATTGAAGAAACAGCATAATTAAAACATAATTTTGATTCAGAATCATTAAGAAGCCTAGCAAAAATCTGAGACTATAATGAGACTTTAGTTATTTTACATGCATTGAAAAACACAAAGAAATTAAAATGTAAAATTTAAAGCAATTATTTTGTATGCATGAAGGGAGATTGTTTTGTTTCTAAAAACAAGTGGCTCAAAGTTAGGCTAGCTAGAATTGTTAAAATACAAACGCTTGAATTAGCTCAAAACAGTAATATTTGTTTATTTCATGATTTAATAAATTGCACATTGGAAGAACTTAAGTCTCCCTGCATGAAGAGGAAAAAATTAAATTCTCCTAATCCTACTTCCATAGTGATACTGCCTTGGAAACCCAAGGAGGGGTCGCTATGAGTCGGGGCCAACTCGACAGCACATAACAACAACAACAACAAAGGATTGGAGATTTCACAATAGCTTGATTTTTTTTTTTTTAATTATTTGCCTTAATATGAACATAAGTTTCCATGATGACCAAATACTTAATGGTTACTGAACTAACATTAGAAAGTAATTCCTAAAAATTTGGCCTTTTACCCATTTGTAGCTATGAGACCTCTTGAAATTTTAATTAAGGAAGCACACAGTCTTGATTTTTTTCTGGCTGAGAAAGACGAAACTTTGGCAGTTTGGGGCAGGCTTTTACAGTTGATTTTTGGTCGTTTGGGTAAGAAAAATCCCTTAAAATCACTGTTAAGATGTCTGCTATTAATTTTTTTCTTTCACACATGACTATTAGAGTGGGGACTGTTGTACTGTTGGATGAGATGGGCTTAAGTCTCTGATACTGAGCTCCTTGGTGTATTTGCTGTGTTATCTAAAACTACCTGTCATGTATTTTTAGGTATGGGTGAGAGTAACTGTTCGTGGAATAGAAAAGCTCTACTGCATCGAAACACCATGCTGGCGGCTGCAGCAGTATATAGAGGTGAGGGAGTTGCCCATTCTTACACCTATTTCTCCTTGAGGAATGTGTGCCATGTCATGTGATTTTGTTAAAATTACCAGTAATTTCCCTTTCCTATTTTGGCACCCTCAAACTTCCTGTACCCTCCCACTCTTCAGACCTCTTGAATTTCCTGGCAGAACACAGACCCTGTAGCTCCATACCCTGTTTCCAAACAGCTTCCGAACAGTCAGCTTCTGAGTGAGTGCTCAGGATTTTCTTGTGAGGCATTCTCAGAATCCTGCAAGTATATTAGTACTGTTTTCTTTTTGGAATATGCCATTTATATTGAGCAGATATTTTTTCCTACTTGGCAGTTTTTTGGACTGTAACTGAAATAGAACCAAACGTGGGTCCCTGCCCGGTGCGCAGTCAGGCCAAAACAGTTTACACACCGAGTGATTAAGAGAAGAGAAAATTATTTATTGCAAAGTGGCAATGCAAGGAGTAGGGGTATCTGTACCCAGATCTAACTCCTTGAAACTCCATCAAGTTACAGTTTTGTAGGTTTCAGAAGAGAGGGTTATGCATATTCATAAAAATTTCAGGAATTTGGGTGTGAGATGGTTGATGATTGGCTGAAATTTCCTTCGCCTCAGTTTACAGGGACAGTAGCGTTTTGATCCAGTGCAATTGCATACCGGATGAGTCACACTGGTTCTCTGTCATAAGCTGATGGGGGCTTAGGCAGAAGGGAGAGTGTTAGTTTCTAGTAACTTTGTTCCTCTCTGTCCTACTGCACATGTCCATGGCCCAGAGTTAATTTTCAAGTTATTTTCTAAGACACATTAACGTGTTTACCACCTGTGCTTAAGTAAATATCAGGAAAGAATATTTTTTTCCATTCAGTTCTGAAGGAACTGAGCTTATTGTATTTACTCATCTGTCTCTAAGCAGAGTCCTATGTGTTTACTCATCTATCTCCAACCAGGGTCTGGGGAGGGAAGTAGTTGAGGGTAATTAAGTTTAGTTATTTATTCTCATCCAGAGTTCTATCTATTCTAATTGTTTGCCTTAACTAGGGTGGGGGAAATAGTTTTGACTTTACTCAGTTTCAGTTCCCCCTTAGAATAGATACTGTTCCACATTCTTGGGAACACTTTACTCGGTTTTAATTCCCCCTAGAATGGTTACTGTTCCACATTTTTGGGAAACAGGGTGACGACTCATTCTAGCTGCTTCCTGCTGACTGGGAACTCAACCTTGGTTAGTAAATCTCTTGTAGTTTAGACAGCTCTCGGAATTTTCTGGCCATAGTCCAGGAAGAAGAGACTAGGGGTGCCTGTAGAGGCTTGAAGACAGATAAGCAGTTAGGCAGACATTGAATATAACAACAAGTAAAGACTCTTAATGTCAATATGAGGAATGTTATAACAAATAAGGATCTCAGACACCCTAAATTGGGTAACGAAGATGTGAGCCAAGAAACATGTATGAACTTTGTCTACAAAATTAAAAATTATTAACCAGTTTGCTTCCAGCAGGTTGTTGTATCCTGCAGATACTCCTCTTATCCTGTCCTGTTGCAATTTACAAATGGTGCAATGTATTCATCTGTTGATTTTGTACTATCTTTCCTGATGCATTAATTAATGAGCAACAGATGGCATTGATACATATGCATACCCCTCTGTCTGGGAGAGTGTGCACACATCCAATAATTATTAGCCCAAGGAGTGTGGTCTAATAGGATTTGTTTGAATTTTATGAGAGTGTTAGACCACCATCCTCCTTCAGAAGTGGTTAGGGATAAAACAGTCATTGAGCTGATCAAAATCACATTCATGTCTTAATTCAGAACAGGTTTCCTTTTAAATCTTAAGATCTTCCATGGGCTCACAAGTATATTCCACTGCAGGGTGTTGTGGACACTCAATATTCAGTTGGTCAGGTTCTCTCAAGTCTCCCTGTCCCCCAAGGCTGCTTCCTGTAGAATAAAGCTTAGTTATAGGTTGGGGAGGGTTTCCAGTGCAGTCAGGTGCTATTCTCAATTGGGTGTGATATATCCAAGGGCAGACTCCCTTCAGTTTGGCCGAAAAATGTGTTGTCAACAATACTTCATAAGGCCCAGTCCATTTGGCCTGGGGCTGGCTCTGGGGAGTCCGGTCGTTGCACTCCTTCAGCAGGACCCAATCACCTGGACAGAAGCTATGAAGGGGAGTATCTGTAGGATACAACAACCTGCTGGAAGCAAACTGGTTAATAATTTTTAATTTTGCAGATAAAGTTCATACATGTTTTAAAATATCCAATTCCTTAATAATTTTAAGGTTTCCCTTTCCTGCATAACTAGGATGCCACACTCTAGAAAATGGTCTCCCATGTAATACTTCATATGGTCTTACCTTAAGCCTGCTTCTGGGGTAACCTGGACCCACAACAGGGCAAGAAGTAAAAGTTTTATCTAAGATAAGTTGGTCTCTTGACACATCTTATCCAGTGTCTTCCTAAAAGTATGCTTCGTCTTCTCAGTTTTCCTGTCAGTTAGGCTAGTCCTGTTACTCGTTAGACTATTTGAGATGCAAATGTTCCCTCATTATTGTTTCGAACTGAGACTTGCAAACCAAATTGGGAATAATTTTAATAGGGTTTACTCACCTCTGCTGCTTTTCTGTGATGCAGGGAAAGGCTTCTACCCATCCAGTGAAAGTATCTATAAATACTCACAGGTACTTGATTTTTCCAGGGGTTGTAAATTTTACTTGCCAGTCCTTGTATGGCCCCAGTCCTCTTATTTGAATTCCTTTTACCCCTGGAGGTAGACTGCACTTTGGATTGTTTCTGGCATAGAACAGCCTTGTGTCACCTTTTGGATTGTTTTGTATAGATCCAGTCCTGCAGTAAGTTTACTTAGCCAAGTATACAGGGCATCTTTTCCCATAACAAGTGTTGGTTGCAGTGACAGTTCTGCCTGTTGTTTCTGTAGTCCATAGCACTAGGTAATTGCAGGAGGTTGTCTGTAAGGCCCATGCCTGGTCGGGATTAACATCCACCTGGAGCTTGTTAGCTGAGAAAGTAACCTGAGTATTTAACTTGGTTATTAAGTCTATTCCAGCAGAGGAAGAGGGCATTCAGGTATGTATAAAAACTTCAAGTTAATACAGTACTCCCAACCTGGCATTCAAGGGTTTGAAGAAAATTTTTATCTTACTAAAACAACAATAATGGTCACAGTCTTCTGGAACAGAGGGGCCTTGGGGATGTTTAGGACTGAGGTTGCCCCTGTGTCCAGTAGAGAGTCAATGGGCTGTTTTCCCACAATTATTGCCACCCAGGCTCCTTGTGGGAGATAGGAATTTGCCCAGTCTGCAGCGGAGCCCCTGGGCCCCATCATTCTTGATCACTGTCAGCTGTGCTTATCATTTGCTGGGCCCCCTTTGGTTGGTTTTGGAGGGTTTGTTTTCAGCACTCCTTCTTCCATTGCCCATCTTTCCTGCAGTAAGCACACTGTTGAGACCCTAACTTTGTTGGTCAGCCTCCTGGAGGAGGAGCTCCCTTTCTATCCACTGGGGGCCCATGGGTACTTACCCGGTAGGATTGACTTCATGACGGGCCTCCCAGGGCAGCAGCCAGCAGGGCAGTCTGTTGCTTCATGTCTCTTTGCTTCTGTTTCTCCTGCTCCTGGTCTCAGTTGTTACAGACCTTGAAAGCAACCTGTACAAGTTGAGAAGTGTTCATACCCAGTCCCCCTTCTAATTTTTGGAGTTTACACTGTATATCAGGGGCACTTTGGCTTACAATACGAGTGTTCTGGGGGTCATCTGGGTTGGTGTCAGTATATTGGCAGTAGGCCTTATACAACCGTTCAAGGAAAGCAGAAGGATTTTCCTTGGGGCATTGTTGTACTTCTTGAACTTTGAGAACGTTAATCTGCTTTGGGGCTCCCTTCTGGAGCCCTGCGATAATGCACTTTCATATAAGCCAACCTAGCTCTGTCCCCTGGGTCATTAGGATCCCACTGTGGGGATTTGTTCCTGGCACTGCCTGATGGCTGGGGCCCCTGACTAGGTTTTCAGGCTGGATATCATGAAGTCTGTTGGCTTCTGCTCTAGCTTTCTCTAATACTATCCACCTCTCTTCAGGGGTGAGTAAGGTAGTTGATTATTAATGTCAGTCCAGTTAGGATAATGAACTGAAAATAAGGAGGTGATTAAGATTTCCATCTGCTTTGGATTTTTCCTGTAAGTGGGCATTATATTTCCTGAGGGGTACCCATTTTATGGGTGGCATCTGGGGTGCTCTCAGGTAAATGGGGATATAACACCACTGGAGTTTTAAGAGGTTCTGAACTCAAAATTCCCTTAGGCTTAGGGGTGGATTCATAGGTGAATTGTTTTTTGACTCTGGGAGTATGGGAAAGGGGCATATGGGGGAGGAACAGAGTCAAGGTAAGGGTCTTCAGAGTCCTGAAAGACACCCTTAAAATCCACTTTCCCTTTAGGTCATACAACAATCACCCCACACTGTTTCTATAAACCCTTGTTCTGAAACAGGACCATGAATAGCTCTAAATAAATCAATTCTTCCCACTCTTGATCCATTTTGCAAAATATAGATCTAATTACATAATAATATCACAGTTCAGACTCCCATTTTCTGGCTGGTATTGTGGCCAGACAGTGTTACAGAAAAATACCATTTCTTTTTTCTTTATAGGCTCAAAGCCAAAATGAGCCCAGTTTTTCAGAATGCAGCCAAAGGGGCTGCATTATGGTATAGAACCTTGGTTACCAAATTTCCAGTCACATGTCCACTCAAAACTGTTGCACCAGTGCCACGTATACACACTCTTTCTCACACAAAAATCAAGCAGAGCCAGACCAGAATTCAAAGCAAAGGATTCCTAAGAACCACGTGGGCTACGGAGAGGTTGATTAAAAGACACCTGGGCCACCATTTAAAACTTTTTACTTCTTACCTACACACAAACCAAACCAAAATCAGACCAGACTAAAGGAGGGCTGGGCCGCCACTTACCCACAGTCTCATCCACATGCAACAACAGATCAAGGTAAAGGGTCCCTAAGAAACATGTGGGCTACAGTAAACCCATACACAAACCAAACCAAACCACAACCAAACCAGACCAGAATAACAATGCTTCAGCTGTGGAGATGATCTTAATTAAGGTTACCAACTAAGGACCAAAATTTCAACCTCCCTATCAGCTTAAAGCCAGACCAGAGTGCTTCAGCTGTGGAGATAATTAAGGTTAATAACCAAAATTTCAACCTCCCTATCAGCTTAAAGCCAAACTAGAGTGCTTCAGCTGTGGAGATGTCTTAATTAAGGCCGTTAACCAAAATTTCAACCTCCCTGTCAGCTAGAAGCCAGACCAGAATTTAATCTATACTCACCAAACCCAGCATAATTTTCTCTTCTCTCGAAAGCGCCTAGAGGCCAAGGACACAGCAGACGGTCACAGACTCAGCACCCCTTACGTACCTTCAGACAGAGCAGTGTCTGAGTGTACACAAGGTCCATTAGGGGTCTGTTCCATTTCCACCATCCAAGCATCCTCGTGCTCCAGGCAGAGTGTCAGAGACCCTCGGTTCCATCTGGGGTGCCAAATTGAAGTAAGACTAAATGCGGGTCCCTGCCTAATGTGCAGTCAGGCCAAAACAGTTTACACACCGAGTGATTAAAAGGAGAGAAAATTATTTATTGCAAAGCAGCAATCAAGGAGTAGGGGTATCCGTACCCAGATCTGACTTCCTGAAACTCCATCAAATTACAGTTTTGTAGGTTTCAGAAGAGAGGGTTATGCATATTCATAAAAATTTCAGGAACTTGGGTATGAGATGGTTGACGATTGGCTGAAATTTCCTTCACCTCAGTTTAAAGGGACAGCATTTTGATCAGTGTGCTTTCATACTAGATAAGTCACACTGGCTTCCTGTCATCAGCTGAATGGGGCTTAGGTAGAGGGAAGAGTTCCTAGTAACTTTGTTCCTCTCTGTCCCACTGCACATGTCCGCGGTCCAGAGTTAATTTTCAAGTTGTTTTCTAAGACTCATTAACGTGTTTATCACCTGTGCCTAAGTAAATAGCAGGAAAGAATGTTTTATTTCCATTCCGTTCTTAAGGAACTGAACTTACTGTATTTACTCATCTGTCTCCAGCCAGAGTCCTATGTGTTTACTCATCTATCTCTAACCAAGGTCTGGGGTGGGGAAATAGTTGAGGGTAATTAAGTTTACTTATTTATCCCATCCGCGGTCCTATCTGTTCTAATTATCTGCCTTAACTTGGGTGGGGAAAATAGTTTTGACTTTACTCAGTTTCATAACCATTATTTGTCTTTATAGAAATGTACAAAAATGAAGATGGTTCTCTACCTGCCACATATCAGATCTATTACATGATTGGATGGAAATACCATGATTCACAGGTAACATTAAGACAGATCACTTTTCTTAGTAACTCACATTTTCATTTATTATTTATTGTTTATTACCTTACAATAAGGGATTATTTATATAAGATAGCATTTAAGGGATTATTGGGGAGTTTGTATCTATTTCTAATATCTTTAATCTTTATTATTTTCAGGCAAGACCAGCTAAAAGAGGTTCTGCAACCATGTCATTTGGAGAACTAGGAAAAATAAACAGTCTTGTGTCCCAAGGAAAGAAATCACAATAAACATTTTATTTATACTGTGATACTAATATTCTGAATTTTCACTGGAATTGATAGCTTTCTCGCATAAAATCATTATATTTTGAAGCAAGAAGCAAACATAGCTACTTAATAACAGATTTTAATAACTTAATTCCATATCTATATTTAGTAGCCATTTTGGTTTCATATTTTGGTTTCATATGGTTTCTGTGATCACGTGGATTCTGTTATCTAGTGATTTAAAGGCCTTATTTGCACATTTACCCTAAAAGCAAAGAAAACAATTTCCCTAAAAATTTCACAAATATGCTTACATATGTAAATGCCTGACTCCATGGAAAAACAGTACTCATGTGACATTTAGTTCCTTTTCTGCTTTTCACTCTTTTGTTATTTCTGTGGGAGGATGACAGTTATGGAGATGAGGGAAAGAAAAAATTAGTAGTTTCTTTAGGAGTTATTTACAATGAAAACAAAATAATTTTTTGAACAGTTGTGACTGTTGGACTACTTTAAGATGCTTAATCTAAAATTATTTGACACATTGTTTTCTTTGTCAATAAGAACAGAGAGTATGTACCTTGTTTAGAACGTTGCTATTAATGTGGTCTGTACTTTAGAATAGCATGTTTCTTGATTGTATTCCTCCTCATCCTTTTTTTTTTTTTTTTTAAGTACCTGTGAGAGCTGGACCTCAGTGGGACTGCTTTGTTCTTCCAGGTCTCGCAAGTTTTCCACCTTTGACAGGATGCAGTCTTGTCACTTCTCTGTCATTCTGTTAGTGGAAAATAGTGGACTTGAGTTTTCCTTCTCTGACAGGTTTCCACCTTGCACAGGTTTCAGCTTTCACAGATTTTACTGTAATATTTTAATGTGTTTTCAGTGAAAGTTTACACAGCAGATTCGTTACCCATTCAACAGTTTCTGCACAAATTTAGTGACATTGGTTACATAGCCTCATCTTTTTAATTTTTAAAATCTGAATTATGATCTTACTTCTTTTTCATCTGCATGATTTAGGACCACTATGATTTAAACCCTAAGAAGAAAACGTTTTAAAGAATTACAGAGGCAAAAATCATGTGTAAAAGTATTTGCACAGTAATTAAAAGTGCTGTTTATTACTGAGCTTCCCTTTGTAATTTCAGGCCTTCATACTGCTAACCTAATCTGAGTTCACTGTCCTTTCATCATTCAGTTGGGTTTAAAATTATTTAGAAGCAGTCAGGCTCAGATAGCTTAGGGTAAGTGGGAAGAAGATGGTGACAAGGAGGAAGCTAGGAAGAAAACTAGTGAGTGTCAGGTCTGTTTTCACAAGTCATTGATGAGCTATTAGCTGATTATTGTATTTGTCTTTCAGCCTGGTTATGGTCCCAGCCTCGTCAGCCTTAGGCAGTTTATTATTTACATCTCTCTGTCTCTCTTCCTCCTTCTTTCTCTCCTTTTCTCTCACTGCCCTGTGAGTTCCAAGCTCTTCATGGGCAAAAACTATGGCTAACCTTTTATATAACATAGTAATTTGTTGTAGTATCCAGGGCTACCTTAAAAAAATAGTGCCAAATAGGTGGCTTTAAAGAACACAGATTTATTTTCTTATACTTCTGGAGGTTAGAAGTCCAAACAGACTGTTACCAGGGCTGTGTTCTTTATCTGTTAGCTTTAGAAGAAGGTCACTCCTCACTACTTTCCTAAGTGTTTCTTGGCTTCCTGGGCTTATAGATGTATCTTCATGTGCAGTGGCTTCTCTCTTTCCCTGTGTGTGTGACCTGACTTCATATCTGTCCTCCTGTAGAGTTGGGACCCACCCTACTCCTGTGTGACATAAGTGGTAACATCTTCGAAGGAAAACCCTATTGCTCTAAACAAGGCCATATTCACAGGTGTGAGAAAAAAAAAGAAACTCACTGTCATCAAGTCGATTCTGACTCATAGCGATCTCTATTGGGTTTCTGAGGCAGTATATCTTTACAGAAGTAGATTGCCCCATCTTCCTTCCATGGAGTGGCTGGTAGATTTGAACTGCCAGTCTTCTGGTTAGTAGTCAAATGCACTGCACCACCAGAGCTCCTTCACAGGTACAGGAGTTAAGATTTGAACATATCTTTTTGAGGGACACAGTTCAATCCATAACAGTAGGTATTCAGGTATATTTTGAGTTAAATTGAATAAGATTGAAAGTGTACCCTTTAAAAGACTTAAGTTACAGTAAATAACCAAAGTTTTGTATGAGAAATATAAATTGAGATTCTTGCTTTCTTCAGTTGGGAGATTCATTGATGTTTGAAATGAGAATACTCTTGGTAACTTTTGGTTTGTTTTAACATAAAGGAAAAGAAAGTACCTATGTAATAGAATTTGGAGAAATTATAATTTTTTAGCATAATTTTTTGAATTTGAAGGGAGAGGAGGAAAAAAAACAGGATATTAAAGTATAGACTAATCACTGAGAAGCAGATAAATTCCAGGATGCCTATGCTTCCAAAAGAACACATATCATATGTATTACCACTTGTTTTCCAAGAATACATAAGAAAATGTTAGGTAGTTAATGTTAAGGAAAGGGGCTGAAGAACTATGTATGTCTTTTTTAGGGCTGTCAGAGGTATAGGGGTAGGGAGAAACTAGGAGGGAAACTCGTACTTTTCATTTCTTTATTTTTCCTCTAAATTTTTAATTTTCTTACCTAGGTGTGTTAGCTAGGTTCTCTAGAGAAGCAAAACCAATAAAGCTTATATAGAGAGAGAAATTTATCTTAGGAAAATGGCTCACACAGTTCCAAAAGCTGGCAAGTCCCAAGTTCCTGAATCAAATGTCAAACTGGAGGCTTCTTCTGACTCATGCAGCTGCAGGGGCGGACGAGCTCAAGGTTGGCAGGCAGTATACTGGCTGTTGACACCTGTGAATGATGAGTTCAAGATCACCAAGCGGAATGGTGGATTGTTTGCTCATGGACAGTTGTAGGCAGCACAACAAGATCCAGATCCACAGAAGGTTTTCTCATTTTTCCAAGACGTCCATATATATGTTAGAAGCAGGCCACACCCCTAGGGAAACTCCCTTTCAATGAACTGGCTGCTCATAAGATTGGTTGGAGTGGCCACTCTGCCAAGCTCAAAAGGAGGCCTCCTAGAGGCAGAACTCTCTCTGACTGCTGAAAGAGACATGCGCTCCTGAAAGAGACACGTGATGCTGGAAAAGGGACGCAAGAGGCATGCATTGGTGAGTGAAACACCGAGGGACACGCACTGCTGGGAAAGAAACAGTGAGAGACTGTTGGCTGAGGGATGGTGGGCTGGAAGAGAGACTGAGTGTTTTTCCTGAACTTGAATTGTAGCCTGGTGCTTCCCTAATAAATCCCGTAACCTGTGAGTTCTGTGTGGCCACTGCACCAAATTATCGAACCCAGGAGAGAGGTGGAGGGTGCTTTGGGAGGAACGGTTGGAGAAAGAGCTAGAGGGAGACAGCATGTCTGGCCTTGTAGGAATAGGCCTTGGGCTATTGATGGCGATTCTGTCTTCCTCTTGTGGGATTAGAGGAGGTCAGAACATGTGGCCTCCATGTCTTTTTAGCAGTCTAGGTTAAGTATTACTTTTGTTTATTTAATGCAAGAACATTTGGATGGATGGCAGTGGAAGTCTGTGAGGAGGTAGATTACTCTGGGCTATCTGAAAAAGCTCTATCAGTAAAAGAATATGGGAAAAATTAACATAACTAATTGAGAATACTTGATGTGAGTGACAATAGTAGTAAAATTATTTTTAGTTTTTGTATCTGCTTAAATTGTGCAATCAAGCCTTAATTGCTGTAGCCCTCAGAAAATTTATTTTTCTGAGTAGCCATGTTTTTCAAATGATTAAAATCTCATCCTTTTAAGTAACAACAACAATAAAAATCTTGTAAAAATCTTTCCAAATTAGATTACATTCTTCCCTTCATTCTTAGTGTATGAAACATAACCATTTTTTTTCTAGTATTTTTTTTTTTTTATTGTGATTTGGGTGAAAGTTTACACAGCAAATTCACTTTCCATACAGCAGTTCACACACACATTGTCTCATGACATTGACTACAATTTACCCCAAGCAACCGCTCCACTCCTACTTCCTCCTAATAGTTACCACTTCCCTGTGTCCATCCCTCCATGCACTCCTGTCCCCTGAGCTGTCTCCTTGTGCATAAACAGCCCTTCTTTCTCCCATGATTGTTCTCTCCAAGGAGTGTATTTACCTCAGGTAAAGGTTCAACTCATATGGTTCACTTTTGATTGGAAGCCACAGGAGTGGGTTCAGTTCCAGACCTGAAGGGCAGCTAGAGATCATAGTCTCAGTGGTTCACCCAGGCTCTAGCAAACCAACAAACCAGGTCCCCTCCTTTTTTTTTTTTCCCAAATGATTTTGAGTTTTATTCCACATTGTGCTCCCTCTCTATCCAGGATCTCCTACATAGATCTATCTCTGACTTGTTGACATTGGTAGCCAGGCACCATCTAGTTCTTCTGGTCTTAAAGTCATATAGGCTGAGGATCACATGGTATACCAGTCATGAGAACTAATTGTTTCCCTGAATCTTTAGTTTTCTTCATTCTTCTTTGCTCTGGACAAGGAGAGACCCATCATTGCATCTAGATGTCTGCTTGCAAGCTTTTAAGATTCCAGTTGCTCCTTGCCAAAGTAGGAGGTAGAACAATGTTTTGTGTAGTATGTTATGCCAGTTGAGCTTGATGTCCCCTGTGACTATGGTCCCAGCCCACAGGTTCAACTACTCAGTTCCTGTGGATAGCTGCCTGTGACCAAGAAGTGACTTCAACCTTGTCCCTTGTCAGCTCTACTATACCCCTGGGAATTCCTTTTTTTTTTTTTTTT